TTTACTGATCTTCGAGCCATCAATTGATTATAAAACCCTTAAAAGAGCTGGCAAAAACCCATCCTCCAGGTTGCAAAGTGCTTGCACAAAGTTCAGTAATACTTTTCATTTATCGTCTCACAACTGAAAAGGTTTGTGTGTGAAAAAGCGAAGCCTTTGCACTCAAAAATAACTAACAGAAATTAAAATATTTCTGCTACTGGAAAAACTGAAAGAAAATAAAATACTTAAAAAACATTTTATTTCAGCTAGTTGCCAAGGCAACATTTCTAATTTTCATTTAGTTTAACTTGATGTAGTAAAATAACTAACTATCTAAAATGTATACAAGCTAGGCTTATAAAATAAATAAATAAAATAACAAAGAATTACTAGACATTAACTAAAATTAAAATGGAAAATAAAAAATAAAAAACTAATTCAAAATATGGTAGTGCTGTTGCGAAGGCATTCGTTTAGATATTCCAGCACTCGCATTTCCCATCAATCATTACATTTCTATGCCATCTGTTACAGCACCTTAGATCCCATCCCCCCCGATGGCAAAGCAACCATTCTCATCACAAACATGCTAATGAATCTGTATCCTCGCTCCCACCAGTACAGCAAACAGTCAAACGGATCCTCACTCAAAACAAGCATCATCAGCACAGGGATGAGACATTCTAAGATGAGACCCGTGTTCGTTAGCCGCACGGTGATTGACATAATTACACCCTAGAGTCAGAAAGATAGAGCGGGGTAATGCTATAATGCGCACCTGCCGCTGGTGATTCATGCGCACATTTACCCTTTCATCATTAGCTGCCTCATCAGCAGAAGGTGGATGCAAAGGTTGCGGGTTTTTTTCAATTGTTAGTAGCTCAACAGTAGTAAAGGGGCTGGAGCCTTTGTGTTCTGATTGTAAGCTCTAATTACAGTAAATGCTGTTTAACAATAGTGACATAGACACTCGGCGACTGTTTACGTTTAACATTTATGCTCCCACACCGGCTTCACACTGACATGGACTAGAGCAGGGATACCCAAACTATTTTGTCAGCTGAACCCCTCTGGCATAAAATATGTTCTTGAAGTACCTCCACAATTTTATTATTTCAATAATTTAACAACATATTCGCATGGTTCCCTGATGTTGGTTAACGGTCACATGACATTCAGGTAAACATGAAATATTTAATCTTAGTTTTATTTTGATCATTTTTATTTTCAAATGATTTACAGTATAGGGTTGCACGATTTGTTAAAAAAAATTGCAATTATTTTGTCATGCATTGCCATTCTATATCATATGAAAATATTTTTAAATTATAAAAAGACAGAAATACTTTACTGTTGTAATATACAATTACAATACAATTGTACTTTAACATAAAATTTATATATTTGATAATTAATAATAATTTTAATTTTATTGTACACTACAAGTTACAATACTAATAAAGGTGCCGCGACTAAAAAAAGGTTGGGAAACACTGATCCAGGTGGATGCTGCACACTGGTGGTGGATGAGGAGATACCCCCTGACAATGTAAAGCGCTTTGAGTGCCTAGAAAAGCGCTATATAAATGTAATGAATTAATAATAATAATAATAATAATAATGTCCAAAATTCTTCTTTCAAACGTACAAAGCTTTTATTTTGGTAGAAAACTGCAGGGATACCTTTGAAAACATTTAGTTGACAGCAGGTTTAAAAATGCTTCATGTCCCAAATCTGATAAAATGCTGAAAACATGTCCACAAAAATGCTGTAAATTGTGAAAATTAATGATCCTGATGTACACTGGATTCCCAAATGCACATTATAAGCAACATGTGGACTGAGTGTGCTGAGCAACATTCACTGTGAACTGAACTGCTCCAACAAACCGAAAACACAGGATTAGGAGCTGCTTGTGTGTAAATGAACACAGTGCATCACATTAAATTGCAGCCTTTTGCGATTTAATAGTCACACTAAGCCATAAGCCAAATTTTACATTTTAATGACATAATTATTAGCTTTTCATCAACTCAATCCCCTGGGATACCCTGGACTAGAGACAGGCAGACAAAGACCATACACTTAATTTAAGAGAAACTTCAACCAGTAGGAAAGAACTAGAAAGGCTGGCAGTCAAACAAACTAGCCCATTTCTGATCCACAAACAGTTGCTCCCACATACTTGTGGTGCATGTCCTTAAATGTACTTGCATTGAATTGTTCAGAAAAGTCTGACAGCTTGAACGAGAGCCGGAATACAGGAGCGAGGGGGGAATCCCTGTGGACACGCAGATCCATTATGTAAAGACACATTCAAACAGATGTTAGAAGTCTCATGAAAAAGCCAGATTGTCACTGAACATTTTGAATATGTCTCCCGAACATCTGATCAAATCCAAAGTGAATAGGATATGTCAAGCATAGAATAGATCTTGGCGCAGTCTCAATATTTTAGCTCAAATGAGAATTCAGGGGTCCAGATTTCCCTCTACAAACACTATAGGCACATTATACACACGCCTACCATGCACAACAGCTCTGAAAGACAGCAGCAGCCATTTCTTGTTTCTTATTCATGCATCCCTGGCTCCATGACTTGAGCGGGATTGAGTGATGAAGTACACTACAGTCTCTCCAGCTTGTACTGGAGACAACAAGCTGCTCCCAGCTATTAACACTATTAAAAGGATGTTATTGTATATTTCTACATTTTAATCTGTGCCTTTTTAACTAATTACTTTTATTTAACATTTAGATTAAAAAAAATTTAATTTAAGTATAAGCACACACAATTAAGTTTATCCCGCTTTACGTTTGTCCCATTATATTGCATTTTTAATAGCTATTTTAACATTTAATGCAAGAAAATGTATGGAATGTTAAATTAATTTACTGCAGAGTTGATAAAGCATATTTTTATTTGTAGAGAATGCAATGAAAGATAATGGCTTGTAGTACATCAATTCCTCAGGTTTTTTTGAGTACAAGACTGTGCTCTTGTTCAACAACACTGAAAGCATGAAGGTGTTCAACAAACTCTGATTCCATACACGATGCCAAAAAATAAATTCCATCCTTAATAAAAATTCTAACAATCTTTCCAAAAACAGGTGCATCATCAACAAAATCTAAGCAAACAACAAGACCACTGCGATACTCAGTACCATGACACTTTACCCACGGTGTGACCATTACCTCGCTAGAAATATCAATCTGGAGCTGCTCTGAAATAAAATCACAGTTTATAAGGTCAGACAACAGCTCATTTGAAACGGGGCCAGACTCAATACCCTTGATAGTACAGGACTCCCAGTGATAGGCAATGGCTAGATGGTGTATCATGCATAATATCCAGCACAAAGTTCTCAGATACATTAAAGTAAATCAAGGTATTGAGTATAGAATTTCTTTTAATACCATAACAGGAGTTTTCATTGGGGTTGTCAGCAAGATACTTGTAATGCTCCTCATTTAGATTTCTATTACGCAATATCACCCGTGTATCATCCTCACTAAATACTTCCTGTGCTAACACCTTGTCAGTGAGACAGAGTCTGCAGTAATGTTTTGCAGAAAAAGATTCAACATAACCAAGAATACTATTTAGACCTAGGTTATCACCCGTAATTTGCGCAATAGTAAGATGGGCTCCTCAGAAAATGACACCGTCATTCCCTTCTGCTCAAGTGCTTTCACATCATCAACCAATGGGGCAAGTATTTTGTCATGCCATACTTTTTTCCATCTTCAGAATGGAACAAAGAAATTAGATGTATGTTCATTAAGGAAGAGTTAATGAACACAAAATATTGAATGTTCTGATCAGTGATAATGACTTACATATCCAGTCCTCCCTTGGGGATCTCTGAGTGAGGGAAACAAGGAGATTCAACATAACCAAGAATACTATTTAGACCTAGGTTATCACCCGTAATTTGCGCAATAGTACCAAAGATGGGCTCCTCAGAAAATGACACCGTCATTCCCTTCTGCTCAAGTACTTTCACATCATCAACCAATGGGGCAAGTATTTTGTCCATGCCATACTTTTTTCCATCTTCAGAATGGAACAAAGAAATTAGATGTATGTTCATTAAGGAAGAGTTCATGTGTGCTGGCAGGTTACGAAGTACAAAATATAAACAGCCAAGTTTATGAATCCCTGCTTTAGATCCTAATGGGTTTGCTGTTTCAAAATCATCATAGTAAATTTGGATCTGAAGTGCATTGCTGTGGATGGAGTACAAAGGATGTTTTTTGTAATACTGTCCATCACAAAAATCTCGATACATGTCACTTTGCCGTTCCTCTTGGATAAGATTACACACATTATCATTCCTAAAAATGAACTCAAGAGTCTTCAGAAGAGGGATATATATGAAAGTGTCATTAACTGTTGTCTGTTCATACATTCCAGAGATTTTATTTCTTCTTGAATCGTATCTGACACCTAAGTGTATTTCAATAGGTTCAACAACCCATTTCTCACTGAAATATTTTCTCCATTTTGTATCGGTATTAAAATCAGAGAATGGATTATTAAAACTATTCAAAACTTCTTCAACTGAATTTCTACTTGTGCTGTCAACAGGCACAACATGTAAAATGTTTTCCCTTAAACTTGTATGGAAATCATTAACAAAATCCTCTTATGCTTTCAACAACTGACATAATTACACTGTTTGCAACACCGTTACCCTGTAATTTGGCTATTATTGATGCACACCTTTCCCTCGAACTATCCCTTGAAACAGAAGAACATTCATGCAAACTTGCATCATTATCTGATCTTTGCTCTGTGCCAGACACAACAAGTGACACTACTTCATCGAGATCTGGAGCTTGTTGATTTTGTAGAGATACAATTTCACTGATTGATGCTACACCCCTAAAATGAAATCTAGTTAAATGTTTTGTAAACCCTTCATAACTTTTAAATTGCAAGGAACAACCATCCTGATCACAAACCAGATCAAATTTCTTACCAGAATATAAACCATGTACAAGCTTTAGGTGCCGAATTAATTTAGCTATTGTAGCAAACAGTGATTTACAGATGTAGCATCTAAACATCATTCAAAAACTTAGCTCTAAGCTCCTTTACTCTTGGGCTCTCACTTGTGGTGCCAACATCAATTCTGTACACTGTAGTCTGGAGAAAAGTGTACAAATTTTTGAGTGGAGGATCATAACTGAGGCTGAAAACAAAATGAACCTTGAAGAGTTCATCAATGGCTGCCAGTGAAGAGGATTCTTGACAGGGGATGAGCTTTTTATCCACCACAATGAAGTAGTGACTGATGGCTTCCTTGCTGCTCCCTGAGGCAATAATGTATGGCTGACGATTCTCTTCCAGCTCAAGGTGTTCCTGGATACTCCGACATGCCTAAATGGGGGGAAAAATAAAGTCTATCAATAACAATGATAAATTAATAAATACAGCTTTATCAGTTAACATTTATTTTAGACTTTTTAGCTTATTTGCACATCGTAAAGACCGGGAAACACTCCAAAACAAAACAGGCCATGCACCGAACAACTGTTAATTTCAGTTTAGATTTAGATCAGATTTAGATTAATTTTATCAACTTACTATATTAACATTTTACAGTTTATCTAATAGTGAAATATAAGCTGAAGAAATTACTGAATCAATTCAAAGTGTAACGCTTATAGCCCTTGTATTTTGGCACCAGTGTACCAGTTACCTACTTTGTGAAACACCACCAGATGGTCAATAGCCTGTGAAATACTGATCCTTTGGATTTTCTTTCTTCCTGAAGCCTGGGGTGATAGGAGATGCAAAAGTAGAAGGAAGGATGATATATCACTGTCCCATTCTGAAAAACACAGAACATTGTTAAATGTCTACACAAAAATAACTATGTATAGTATAATTTCACTGCAAAGTCATTGCAAGTTTCACCTGGGGAATCCTGTGCCTCGCTGCTTTCTTTGCTCTGTTTGGCAGATGACAGTAATCTTTTCAGCAGTGGAGTGGAAGTCAAGGTTTCTCCTAGTCTGATAACCTTTGCTTTGAAAACAGTTGGCCACCTTTCCAAAAGTCTGGAAGCAGTTTCTGACCCAAAGAGGAGTGTAAAGTCCTGAAGAATCTGAAGCAGTTTGAAGAAAACACGTAAAGAAATTATAATATATTGACAAGCTAAATGTGGTCAGTTTAAACAATGTAGACCATTTGACAGTTCTCTGAATCTAACATTTCAATTTTTGTAAAAAAGGAAAGAGAAAATCCATACCAATCCTTTAGTGTCCAGGAATCGAGGAAAAACTGAGAGAATGGTGGTGGATCCCTCTGGATCATGGACAAGGCGCTGTCTGTATTCAAACGTTGCCTTCATCTTCTGCATGATGACCTCACGTTCGCTTGTATGATTCATCAAAGAGATGGCCTCTACACTTTGATCATTATCTAGCTGATGTTCTTGGTAACATAGCTGTCTGTCATGCAAAGGACCTCCATTTTCTTCTGTTTTTGGATCATCCTTATTTCCAGAAGGTCTTGTCCCCCTTTGTACTGTCTTGAGGCGCCATGACAAGAATCCAGTGTTTTTTTGGCCATCATAGAAATGTTCCTGTTGAAATGACACAAATTCTAAATTTAACCCTCCATTAAAAATTACAACATCTTAAGTAGGGCTGCACGATAAATCGCATGCGATATTTAATGCGCATTTTGTAATCAGCGGTAAATCTCCATCACGTGCGTGCTTTCACATGAAGCAGCATTTACTACACCAAGCCGTTGTTCACTGACAAGCTGCGCAAAACCATGATCATATATGAACGTGGTTTTGTGCAGCTTGTCAGTGAACAACGGCTCTGTGTAGTAAATTCTGCTCAATGTGAAAGCACGCACATGATGGAGATTTACCGCTGATTACAGCACCGGCTTTACTGACAAGATGCGCATTAAATATCGCATGCGATT